TTCTCCCTCTGACCCTCTCCCCTCTCATGCTGTTTCTCTCTCGCTCGCTCTCTAAAAAATAAATAAAATCTTTAAAAAAAAGATTCATTTGAAAATACTGGGAGACCTGGGGCACCTGGCTGGCTTAGCCAGCGGAGCCTGCGACTCTTGACCTTGGGGTCATGGGTTCCAGCCCCCACATTGGGTGTGGAGATTACTTTAAAAAAAAAAATACTGATAAACTCTTATAAGGATAAAAGGGAAGAGAGGTTAAACCATGGGATTTTCAAAGTCTTATCCAAAGCTGCTTTCAGTTACTTACTCTAAAAAGACAAGGCAGATGTCTGAAACCAACTTCCTTACGAACCACACCACCACCCAGCCCACCTTAGTGTCAAGTCTTGCTTCGGCTTTCTCGGCTCAGGCTTCTCTTCCCCAGGAAGCCTCTGCTGACCTCTGCCACTCGGTCATAGTCCCCACATCACACACTCTTGACCTACACAGTGCCTCTCTCCCCACCAAAGCCCTTACGTGGCTACGGTTTACATCTTGTGTGTCCTTCTCCCTCACGTTGTGCCCCTATGCTCAGAAAATCTTCAGTCAGTTGCTGAAGGAACGAATGAGCTGCCCGTAAAAAGCTAGACCTTTGAAAATGCTAAGTTATCTTCTGGTACTTTAGTCTCAAAAAATACTGCAATATTTGGTAGGCAGCCTCCAAGATGCCCCTGACCCCGTGATCCTCACGTCTGGGTATTCACGCACTTGGGAGGTCACTGGCCACAATGTACCAGGGTTGGTACGTGTGGCCAACAGAATACTGTGCAAGCGCCGATGTAGGACTTCCAAAGTTAGAGTGTGAAAGACACTGCCACTTCTGCCTTGTCCCCTCGGATCACGTGCTCTGGAGGAAGCCAGCCACTGCGTCCAGGACGCTCAGGCCGAAGGACAGGCTTCGCAGGGCAAGGAACTGTGGCCTCCTGCCAACAGCCAGCCCCAGCTTGCCAGTCATGGAGGGAAGCACCATGGAAGCAGAGCCTCTGGTGCCCGTGGAGCATCCACCCAACTCCAGTGCCAGCCAGCATCGTGACCGAAATCCCATGGGACCAGAACCACCACCGCTCAGCTAAGCTGCTTCCCAAAACCCCAGTAATCTCACCCGCTGTGTGAGACAGTAAACAGCTGTTACTGGAAGCTGCTAAATCTGGGTACGATTTGTCACATAGCAACAGATAACCAATACACAACCCAAAGTGTCCAAAAGTCCTCTGACGTGCTCTTCTCTGCCTATTCTAAGGGTCACCAGAGGCATCGGATTCAGACTCAAAAGGGTACAAAAGCATTCAACTCTCACAAATATGTGATTGCTCTCCAAAGCCAGTGAGCCTGACTCCTGCCTTGCTTTCCATGAATCTCAGTTATGACATCTGGATGGACACACACATGCCAAACCATACCTTTGGGTCCATTCTCCAAGGCTTCTTCCGCAGCTTCTGGTTCAAGTTCTTTCTCTGGGTTGTCAGTGTGAGTTTTGGCCTGTCCATTGACTGACATCCTATCGCCCGGTGCCGCTGCGTTCACTTTTGATGACGCAGGCAGAGAAGCCCCCACGACTGCTACTTCCTGCTGTTTCTGTAAGGCTGCCTACAAGTGGAGAAACAGTGAAGACACACTGACCAGGACGGCTAAGGATGGCACACTTGCCCTGGAATGCACTCTGACCCCGTGTTTTTGTCCTACTAAAGCACTGTGCTTCAAGAAATTACTGATAGGGGCGCCTGGGGGGCTCAGTCGGTGAAGCGTCTGCCTTCGGCTCAGGTCATGATCCCAGGGTCCTGGGATCGAGCCCCACATCGGGCTCCCTGCTCTGCAGGAAGCCTGCTTCTCCCTCTCCCTCTGCCTGTCCCTCCCCCTGCTGTGCGCTCTCTTGCTCTGTCAAATAAATAAAATCTTTAAAAAAAAATTAGTAATAGACTTTTATCAGTTTTATCTTATCTATGATGAGTATTAGTAGGACAATACCGAGCCAACAGCTAAAAATGCTGAAAAATTATCATGGACAAAAACCTGGGTCACGTTTTTGTGACCTGAAGATCATTAGAAAAACTAACCAGGAAAAATTAAAGTAGATAGAAATAATCAACCCCAAAGACAATTATACACAAAAATTGAACACAGTAACATTTGTTCTTAAAACCGACAGAAGAAAATCTTGATAAAATTCAGATACATAAAATCTGAATCAGGAAAATAAACTTGGTAGTAATATATGATCACAGAGGAAAAATCACGAAGGCAAAAGCTGTAATTAGTAAAATCCGATATGGGGCCCCAAAGTAATCAATCAAATATGGGTGATTAATATGGACAAAAATAATAAATGAAATCTTCACCATAAACTATACACAGAAAAACATCACAATTGAACTGAAAACTGTTAATCATGTTATAAAAAATATCAACCTAAGAATTAAACAGGCTTACAAAATGGAGCTTGAGGCCAAAAGACTTTCTTAATGACAATTCATCACTGTTATTAAAATATGTACATTCATAAAAATGGAATCAAAATGTCCCAAGTCAAAATGGAAGAGTAAAAACATCTTAAACACAAAGGACAACTATCTGGGGACATTCCCCTCTTCTATCAAGATGGATATTAGTATTATTAGATATACCTAAGTGTTGTTACTTAAGCAACTTTTGAGGAACCTTTGAATTATATATAGAGAAACATGTACAAATCATAAACAAATGTACAACCTGATCATTCTTCAAAAAACAAACATACCCACGTAAGCAACACCAGGTCAAGACATTATCTGCATCCAGAATTCTCCTTTTGACACACTCCCCGACCCATGCTGCAAGGATAACAACTAAGCTGACTTAAAACACTACATATCTGCTTTGCCCATTTTTCGACGTTTATATATATAAACGGAATTGTATAATAAATGTTCTTTTTTGTGTCTGGCTTCTTTTACTCGACATTATTTTTGCAAGGTTCATCCATAAGGTTATAAAGTAATTGTATTTTGTCTGCACTGCTATGATATTCCATTGTGAAGATACAAAATTTATCCATTTTACTGTTGATAAACATTTGGGCATTTAAGTAACTCTACATTAAAACATGAAGTCATAACTGAGCTTACGTTTACAAAAGTAAAAAATAAAATAATGAAACAAAGAAAACATAGGAAAAAAGCCTTTATAATCTCACGGTTTAGGGATAATGACATATTTCTACATACCTGTACACAAATTCAACATATCATCTACAATCCAATTATTTCCATGAACAGCAACGCTTTCTTCTGTGGCTAACGCAGGCTGGTGATACATGTAAGATTTTAAAATACCTCCTTTCAAGGCCTAGATTCTCAGTCATTCCCACATGAGTTTTCTAGAAAGAGTACCAGCTTCCCGAAAAAGTGCATACAACCAAAACAAGCCGGCACACTCAGAACATTCACTGTGCGACAGGACAGCTAGAAAAGCATTTCTGTGGATGATCAGCAGGCCCAGCTCAGATGGCTGCTCTCCAGGAGGCCGTGCCTGAAATCCTCCAGCAGAGTGAACAACTCCCTTGGGGATCCCACTGCCCACAAATATACATCTATTACAAACAGCAGATCATTATGATTTATTTACATCATCTCTCATCTGTACTTTGGGAAGGTTTTAAAAGCACAGAAAGGTACAGGAACAAACACCCATGTAACTACACCTCCAAATGAACAAGTGTTAGCACTCTGTCATTTTGCTCAGTATTTATACAAAAATTACTACTTTATGTTCCTTCCCCAGTGCCTTTCCTTCTCCATTCCCAGAGACCACCAGTCAATGTGTAAAACCGAGTTCCATCACTGTAATCTAAATTACGGATTCCAGATCCTTCTCTTCCACAGATTCTTGGTTTGCCCTACTTGACCAAGTTTGTTCTCACTAAATGACAGCAACCTATAAACAGGGCAGGGCGTGTGAGCTATCCCACTGGAAAACCATCTCAAAGCCCATCTCAAAGCCCTACAAGCAGGAAGAGGGAGTGGTACACTCAAGCAGAAACAGGCTTTCCAGGACAGAAAAGAAATCCCTCAGAAAAGCCACTTACTGTCTTGAATAAACTCTGGGGTGACATCCTTTTCAGCTTATGAACGACACAAAATTGCAAGCCTTTTAACTTCAAAGGAAAAGGTATTTTAAGTAAGGATATTAATTTCCAGAGAATTTAAAGAGGTTGGCAAAACAATCAAGGTCACTTCATCTGACAAGAAATGTTGAGCAACTATAATGTCACACACTTTCTTCCTGTGGACTGACAGGTCATAACTACTTTCTAAGTGGAAAGTAAGGAAGTAAAACTTCGCCAGATTCACCCCAAGAAGGCATTAGTGCCTCTGCCCTGTGTGAAAAGGGAACACAGATCAGCGATCTGCCATACAAACACAACACTTTCAAAGAGCAACTCTTTTTCTCATTTTGGTCCTCTGAGAGTTCAGGGAGGTGAGCGGGATCGGTACCGGGATTTTTTTCTCCCATTCCCGCTCACTGGGAGAAAAGGCAGAAAAATCAGAGCAGTAGGTAACTTGTCTGATATCAAACAAGGTAACGGCAAAGCCAGGACCGAATCCAAGTGTTACCCTGCTCTTCTTCACCCCACGCTCTTCACGCTACGCCACCTACGCCAAGTCCCTGGGGGTAGGGAGCTGGAGGGACTAGCACTGTGGTGCAGGGGGGCACAGTCTCGCTCTAGCACCTCACGCAAACATCTAGATGACCAGTCCGCAAGACCCGCTCACAGCCTGAGGGGACCGGTCCTCCCATGGGCAGCCGCTCCGGCCTAGGGCCGCCCACTGCCTGAAGGACACGGCAACCTAACTTGAACACGAATCACCCAGGATCACCAACAGGGTCTGCCCCAGACTCACCGGAATGACACCCAGTGCGCACGACCCCCGGATGCCCCGTGGTCACGTCATTTTTTGCCTCCATGTCACCTGTCTGCTTTCGTAACTGCCCGTGCACCCCGAGTCTCCCCACAAGGCCCCTACGAGTCACGTTCTCCTTCGAAGCTAACGGCGCGGAGCAGCTGAGCCCGGCGAGGAGGGAGCCCCGGCGCACCTGCTGCTGGGCGAGCTGGGCCTGGTAGAGCTGCTGCATGTACTGCTGGTAGTGCTGCTCCTGCAGCTGGCGGACGAGCAGCTGCTGCTGGTCCAGGCTGCCCGGGTACTGCTGCGCCGCGTACTGCTGGAACTGCACGGCCGTCTGCGAGTTCAGGGCCGCCATGATCTGCTGCCTGAAACAGCAGAGACACACACTCGTCGGGCCGCGGGTCACAGGTCACGGCTCGCGGCCAGAGCAGACGGCCCCGTGGCTGATCTGTACCACTGGTCACCCCGTGCAAGGACTGAGCCGGGCATGCCTTCCCACCCGCATGTGGTGCCGCAGGCCCAGAAGAAAGGCTTCAGAGAAGCCACTGGGCCTCTCTCTCACTTTTCACTGAGGGTTTTCAAGGAAAATCTGGGATGGAGAGGGAGAAGGATTCCCGTGTTGGATCCCCACTGTCCCCATCGTAACTACGAACGGTCGCCGGGCCCCGACTGTGCGCCAGGCGCCGTTTGCTTGCAGGTACCAGCCACCTGGGAGGAGACAAGGCTTCAGACGGGAGGCGGTGCCGGCGTTCGGGAACTTGCCCGAGATCACTCTGTGGGAGCGGCCAGAGCCGGGATGTGGTCAGGCAGGCCGGCATCAGCGCGGACTCCCAGCAGGACGCTGTCAGAGGGCACCCTGTCATCTACGGCGGGGGCGTGGGGGCGGTGGGGGGACACGACACGACAATGACAGTAACATTCAGCTGCCGGCCATGGCTTCTCTACCTGAACACTCGGAGAGCCGGAAGAGGCAGGACAGAAACCAGAACGTGTCACGAGCGGCCCTGGTAAATATAAGTAAAGCCAGGGAAACTCTGCAGCTCTCAGGCATTTCATTTAAAGCCTGCCTTCGGGGTGCCTGGGTGGCTCAGTCGGTTAAGCATTTGCCTTCGGCTCGGGTCGTGATCCCGGGGTTGTGGGATCGAACCCCATGTCAGGCTCCCTGCTCCGTGGGGAGTCTGCTTCTCCCTCTCCCTCTGTTGTTCTCCCTGCTTGTGCTCTTTCTTCCTCTCTATCAAATAAATAAATAAAGCCTGCCTTCCAGAACAACACTGAAAATAGTATCTGAGCACACTTGGTTTAGAGACAGTAATTTCTGTTATTATAAATTTCATTTTCTCTCCTACAGGCACCACAGGCTTCCTACCTCAGTTATGTGACCAACTTAACAAAGTTCGGAAAGCCATCTCTCAATAGACAGATAAGTAGACAGATGAGATAAAGCAAAATCTCACAAAGTCCTGCACTGAACCCGACACGTGGCCCATCCAGGGTGCTGCCTGCTCCCAAAGATGTAGCATTCCTAGTCTCTCCCCAAAGCGGAATGAGGCCCAAGGTTGCTCTGCGACCAGCACTGAAGCCTTTCTGAGGAGCCGCTGAGAGATAACGAGACATCAAGAGACTGTCATACTCTCTGGTTTCCTCTAGACGCCACCCCCCGCCCCCCCCACACCTCAGACCTTCCTCCCGCACGTGCGGTGTCAACCCCTTCCTCCCTGTCCCCACAGCTCCCTCCTGAAGAACCAGTCCCTTGTGATGCAGCTGCTCTCACAACCCTGAACGAGAGATGGTTTCAGGCCCCATCCTCTGTCCTGGGGCTCTATCCTGGGGACTCTGTCCTGGAGGCTCTGTCCTGGGGCTCTGTCCAATTCCGGCCAGTCTGTCAGACACATGAAATCCCGGACCACACAAATCCACACCAGGACAGCCTCGTGTCCACCAAGGCAGAGAACAGAAGGGGCGAGACAGACATACAACTGGGAATCGAGACAAGATCACCAGGACCCAGGGACAGAGCCAGCAAGCCACCTCAGCTCCCGCTCTAGTCCCTGGGTCCTGGCAGCTAACCCCAAGCCCTTTCCTTTTCGCCACCCACTGAAGCTTGAGCCGAGGCCCCCTGGGGAACGTGACAGACCACCGGTACAAACGGCGGGAGCCGAGGGGCGTGCACCTCCCAGCACACAAGTCACAGAGTTCTCCCAAGGCGCGGCGCCCGGAGGCCGTGGCGGTCCGGCTCTCCCGCTTCAACACAAGCAGTCCGACCCGCTTACTTCTGCTGTTCCAGCCGAAGCCTCTCCTCTTCTACTCGCCTCCTCTCCTCTTCCTCCCGCCTCAGCCTTTCCTCCTCCTCTCTCCTGCGCTTCTCCTCCTCCTTCTGCAGACGCTCTCTTTCTTCCTCTTCGCGCCGCCTCCGCTCCTCCTCCTCCTTCCTACAAGCGAGGACAGACACGGTGAACCCTGTACAATGAATCCTGCTTAAATATCACTGAAGACTTTATTTCCCAGTGAAAACTGACACACTCAGAGAGAACGAAGTGGTCATATTATCAAAATTTGAGATGCATACACTCGGCTGGTAGAAATTTATCCTGTGGGGTCAATCTCACAATCCGCAAGAACACGGCAGAAATAATTATGGCTGTGTGGCAGAAGAGAAAGGTGTCCACCAGTAAGAGACCACTGAGATCATGATATGCCCACCCTGAAGGTTTCCCTCACCTACGCTCACAGCATCACAGGCTTTCCGTTCCCACTTTTTGCTGTGGTTGTAATTAAGCTTGCACGAGAAATTCAGCCACACGCCTGCCTACTGTCAAAGTCTGTGCTCTGCGAGGGCAAAAGCTGCCTATCTCCCAGTGCTCCAACCTTGGAGCTGAGCACAGTGCTAGAAAGAACAAGCCCTCAACTCATGTGTCTAAAATGAATAAGGCACCCCGAAATGCCACGTGGCCACAAAAAAAAACCACGACTATATGGCCTGACACGCACTTAATATACTTGTTTAATGAAAAGAGCAAGGAAATAACAGGAAAAAGGTCTGCAAAGAAACACCTTAACTGGGGGCGTCCGGGTGGCGCAGTCGGTTCAGCGTCCAATTCTTGCTTTCGGCTTAGGTCATGATCTCAGGGTCCTGGGATGGAGCCCCCCATCAGGCTCCAGGCCCAACACAGAAGTCTGCTAAACTTCCGCTCTCTGTGTCCCTCCTCCATGCACTCTCTCTCTAATAAGTCAGTCTTAAAAATACACCTTAAATGTGTCCTTTCTCATCTATTGAGAGAAGAGAGCGATTAAAAGCAAGGTGGGAGGGAAGGTTTTCAGTCTGTGCGTCACATACTGCCATAAATGAAAAATATTTATATTGCATGTATCTGTATATTACTTCTGATATTTTAAAAAATGTCAAAGCTTTGACTTTAAAAGAGAAATAGAAGAGCTAGAAATGCAGGTGCCGCCTCTATCCAGCTCTCGCCTGCTCTCGGCTCCTTTCCCGGGGGGAGCACAGACCCCACGGCAGGAGAAGCGGGTGCGTTGCCGGCTGAGCGCGGTATGGAGGGCAGGATGGCTGAGGATGGTACGCAGGTGGTCTCTGAGGATCTGAGGGGACACCATTTCTTGGTCCTACAAGAACTGCTCGGCTTACCCCATTTTCCTCCCCAAACTCCTGTAAGTGATGAACAGCACATCGGAGGCACAGCCAAGGCTCAAAACAGCAATAACGTGACCTACTTCTAACCTGTCACAGCTGGGAGAGGGCAAGATGTTCCACAGCCAGAGCTGGGCCTGTAGGACTGAGAAAGTCTAGGCTTAAATGCTTTCAAAGGGCGCCAGATGGATTTCATCTCACGAAAGAAGTGCATTTTTTTAAAAGATTTTATTTATTTGAGAGAGAGTGAGAGAGAGAGAGAGCATGAACAGGGGCAGAGGCAGAGGGAGAAGCAGACTCCTCGCTGAGCAGGGACTCCGGGATTATGACCTGAGCCGAAGGCAGACGCTTAGTGACTGAGTCCCCAGAAGCACATTTTTAAAAGGAAAAATGCAGTTTTACATGTTAAGATGACTAACTTAACTATTCAATTTACCACTAAGAATCAAAACTTTTTTTTTTTTTGAGCAGCAAAGCGAGGTTTATTGATCGATAGTAAAGTGATAGCACAAAACTCCCAAAGAGCTCCGGAGGGACCCAAGAGGGCCCCAAAAGTTTTGCCCGAATCAAAACTTTTCCTTTGGATAAAAACAATCTTCCTTTGGATAAATGTTTTTTTTTTTTTTAAAGATTTTATTTATTTATTTGAGAGAGAGAGAATGAGAGAGAGCACATGAGAGGGGGG